TATTGCAGAGCCAGTTAATCTTGAAGCAAATCTACTAGAGTAATTTATATCTATTTATGAATTTATCTAGTTTAGATTTTTGTAGATATTTGTATAACTTCAAATTCTACTATAATCTTCTACTAGTTAATAACTTTGTTTTTTTTCAGTATCTAGCTAGTTCTAGTTACTCTTTGCTTAGAGATCTCAAAACCTCTTATCTTTATTAGACTAGATTTTCTTTTTAGATTAGACTTTAGCTAATATAGTTCTGTCAAAAAGCTATATTACTTCATTAACTTAGAATTTCTACTATATAGATCTCTTGCTTATATATTCTATTAAAAATTTATTTGTATTATATTATACTTCCAAGGTCTGATCGATTTAGTATAACTCAATTTATAGAAATACACTTTTAAAAACAAACAGAGTTTACTGTAATATATTACAAGATATAAAAAATTATTCAAATTTATTAATAATAGAATTTAAACTTTAGACTTATTATATGATAGTCTAATAATCTAACTACTATACTAGATTATTAGATTTTCAAAAGTTATTTTTACTTTAGAATATTTTTATTCACTATGCAAAAATAATCAAAAATAATTAGTATCCTTACAAACTTTATTTAGAAGACAAAATATATCTGCTGTTTATTAGATAACATAAATATTTTTATCTAAAACTATTTTATTATATTAGATTTAAATAATATTTATTTTTAACTATTTAATTTGAATAGGTAAAAGCTTTTAGTAATAGAAGATCTGAGTTTAATATTTAAATTTTATTAGTTTTTATAGTATTGTTGACCTATAAAACATTAAGAAAAATCACAAAATCCTTAATATCTTTTGATCCACTAGTCCAATTTGGATGAAACATATACCATTAGAATCAGCTTACTGAGGCAGATCTAATAAGCTAATAATCATTATAATCCAATTACTAGATTCCGAGATAATGAAGTTCTGGCCTTTTTACAATAATCATGTAATCTGATTAGCTGATGATTACTGCAGGAGATGCATTACAAGTAATACATTTATTACCTATAGTTTTTGAGACACTTTTATTACTTATCATATATATATTACATATCATATTTATTTTATATATTATACATGTATTAGTTATATTATATATTTTATTAGTAATAGTTGTAGCATATATAGTTCCTGTAATATATATAGCCTGTTACATTTCTAATTTTTTGTAAAGTATAAAAGTGGCACATGTAGATCTTGATTTCATTATTAAGTCTTCATACTCTTTCATAATAAAAGTAACTTTCTGATACTTTGAAATAAATATTTATTGATATCTTCATATATCTATAATTGTTGCCTCTTTCATAATTGCAAATTACCTTAAATATTCTTTGTTAAGTTTTACAAAAACACTCTAAAGACTTTGACAAAATACAGTAATAAGGGATGTTATACAAAGTATTCACTGTTATTAGTCTCTCTAGTTAGTTGGTCTTGCAAAAGAAGTCAAACCAACATAACAGTATGTTTAAGTTTGTTAATTGTAAATTAATAGTTAAAGTTTTTGTTATATATTAAATATATAGATTCTTTAATAAATTTAGATTTATTAGTAATAAATATTATATTAGGTCTAGTAATCTTAATGTAGTAGTTAGATTGCTTGACTATTATACAAGAAGTCTAGAGTTTAAATCCTACTATAAACAGAATTGAATAATTACTTAGATCTTTGTATCTAACTTATAGTAAACTCTGTTTATTTCTGAAGTTGTAATTCTATAAATCATATTATATCAATATCAATTGAGCATTAGAAGTATATTATAGTATTTGAAGAAACATAATATTATATAAAAAAATCTTAATAAAATCTATGAGCAGAGAACTTGCATAATAGAAATTCTGAATTAGATAAAGTAGTATAGATTTTAACAGTTATACTAGTTAATATTTGATCTAAGAAAGAAAATCAGTATATAAAAAGATCAATAAAATAGATGTGAATAAGTCTATTATACCTAAATAATAATAAGAACCAAGATCATACAGCAATACTAACTTGGCTTAGCAACTAACTGAATTTGGAAAAATTTGTCTTATAAGATATTTGAAGATACAGATAACTAACTCAGTAGAAAGCTATAGTAAGAACTAGATTTGTATGAATATTAAACAAGAATATATACAAGCTAGATTGAGATATAATATAGTATAGTTGAGTTCTATAGTATCTATTAATTAAAGAGTTAATGAAGAGATACCTTGTTATAGAGTCTAAGCTCTGAATCATAAAGTTTGTAAACTCATATTAGCTCTGTTGATGTCTTTTCAAAAAAAGAAGTAGTATAAGGTTAGATGAATTAATAGAATAACAAGTTAAAAATAATATATAGCTAAAGAGTTTAAATAGAGAATTTTCAAATAAGTTTTAAATATAATAGCTAGTATAAAACCTTTAAGCAGACTACTTAAATTAGACAATATAAAGTTGTATATGTGGCTAGTTATATTCTCACAATATGTAATTATTTCTCACTATTTATACTAATAAAAATTCAGCTAATAGTATTTATATAAAGTAAAAAAAAAAAAAATATCACATTTATCTACTTTATATGTATTTGACTATTCTCTAAATATAAATAATAAATTCTTTTGTATGTATTTATTAGTTTGTATCCTTCTTTATATAAAGTTTCTTTTCATTTTCTAATACTGTAATATTAATTAAAATTATATATTTGGTTAGTTAATTATCACAAGTAATCATAGGTAGATCTATAAAAATTAACTAATTAGACGAATATTATCCAATGAGGTTGTACTCCCAACCCTTTTGTCATACTTATTAGCTCTAAAGCATCAATACAAAATGAACTACTTTGAATAAACAGAAATATGTAATGATTCTCTTGTAACAGAATTATTAAAAGCTATAGACAAGAATCATATACATAAACCTATCAACCAAAAATTACATATAATACAAGACTATCTGCGAACATTGAAAGAAAATCTAAATTTAAATGAATGGGATAGCAAGATGTTCTAGGCAATAGTGACAACAGTATTTTATGATCTAGCATGATTAGAAGAGCTTCTTCCAACAACACAATATGATCAAAACAGAGTACCAACCTTCAGAGCAATAATATTCAAAGAAATTGATTACTACACCTTCACCACTAATTAACTAGCACGCACCAAAAACCACAAGACAGCTGAATGTATATCTCTCATAATTAGCCCAACATATGATGATCTATATCCTGTAGAGACCCTGAAAGCATACTAATGCACAGATCAACCTCTATACATAACCACCCAAACCTGCTATTCATAAGAACCAATGGATCATTGGCAATAAAACGATTCTTCATCAGCAAGCTCAAACAAATCTTACCATCAGAAGATGTTTCTGGCCATAGTTTTAGGGCTAGGAGCACAACAGAACTAGTTATACGAGGAGTCTAGCTTGTACTAGTTCAAAAAATAGGTAGATGAAACTCAGATACATTTTACAGATATATCCGTGCCCATCCAGCCACAATAGCAGCTATACTAATAAAAGCATACAGTAATTGAGCCGTTCACAAATCACTTCTCATTAATGGCATCTCGAACACCACAATTACAAAAAAAAAAAAAAAAAAAAATGAAATGAAAGCTAAATTACAATCAAAAAACAAAGAGAGAAAGGTGATAATACAAACATGTAACAAGTTAGGGTCTAATAAATCAAATGCATAGCGATGCGCTAATGCAACACCTGCAATAATCAGTATACTACACATTGGAAACAATAACACTTGTAATTTCAATAACACTAACTATTCATTACCAGCTATAAAAAAAAAAAAAAAAAAAAAAAAAAAAAAAAAGAGCAAAAAAAAAAAAATTCCAACATAACTCAAACACGGCATCATGTATCAGTTATAACAAACTCGACCACAGCACGGGCGATGCGACATATACCAGATAATACAAACCGACATGAGACAATGGCAGAATCTCAACACCTAAAATATTGGGGTCCGTTAAAGCCAGGTACGTTTACATATAGATCTACATATTGCATAAATTACATTCTTGATAACTTATATAAATAAAACTATTAACTGCATCAAAAAAACTAACCCTAACGTACCTGGCTTTAACGTTCCCCCGCACTTAGATCATGGGGCAGAGGGCATGGGTCGGGATCAAAGAACGAGTCAATCAGTTAAATTGCATGAATCAACATGCAACCAGAAACAAACGTAATAAAAGCCACCTACCACAATCAATATATAAATAACTGAAAACAAATTGCTTCGACACCCTTTTCCACTTCGACACATTAGTCTTCGGCAAACAAATTTCTCGACCCAACCTCTCCCGCCACACACTGTAGTCTCCTGATTCTACCATTTTCCTATTTAACAGCCGGCCTGCTTCGAGCAGGCAGGAAACCACCGGCTGATGCTGCTTCTCGCTCATTCTACTGTTACGATGATACCTGGCGCAATCTCACTTGCTAATTTTCTGGGAGCATATCATCGTTTCAGTTCGATTTACTTAGCTAAAATTATAATGTCATAATGTATTCTGCGGACTTCATGTCCTTTAATTGAATTGAATTTAATTGAATTTATTTTCGGCACCTTTGGCTAGCCGGCATTCATCTAACTACATAACCAGTCGTACCGATGCTTTCGTTAAAGTGGTTGATATACCATTCGATTCATCTTGATAAGACGAATTGAATGGTATAGAGGCATTCAATTCTGATCGTTTTGACCCGAGATATTTTATAAAAACTTCAGTGCGCCACATTACCTCCCGCGCCAGAATACCCGACCCTCCCTTACTATTCAAATTAAATTGACTCAAATTTATCTATGTTATTGTGCCTATATTTGGCCGATTGTGTATAATCCCAGGGTACAAATTTCTGAGATTATTTAAACAAGGGGGTTACTGTTTACAAAGAACGACAATTATAAAATTTGACATTAACATACTCTTTTCTTTACTATAATGCAATACCATCATTATATTCCAAGATTCCTTCTTCGTAATTTTAGTATTGATAATAATGAAAGAATATTTGTAAAAAATAAGAATAATTATTTCGAAGAGAAGGAGAAAATAAATAAAAATAAAAAAAATAAAAACAAAAAAGATAGAAAGAATGAGTTACTTCAAATTTATGATAGAAAGACAGATCAGCTAGACGTCTCATTAGTCTCGAGAACCTTTGGATATGTAGACATGTATAGAAATATTAAATATGAAGATGAGATGCGTGTTGAAAAAGAACTATCAGAACTTGAAAGGCGTGCATCAAATGTAGTCAAAGAAATTATAAAGGAGTCACAAGCAGCAAGTCAGGTCACTTTGTTCAGAAAGGATCTTTACGATTTGCGTAAATTCCTTCATGTCATGAACTATCGAAACACTTCTCGATGGTCTCAATTTACTGAAAAAAGATTTGACGCCCAAACTTTGAAGATGGTAGAAGATTTTATGCAAGAACATAAATTACAGAGCGCTAAAGAAGTATGGCTGCAGAATATCTATGAAACAATAAAGACTCCGTATGATGTTGTCGAGGCTAACCCAAGAATCTTTTCGTTAGATAGGGATGAATTTATGTTTCGCAAGAATTATTATGTCGTAATTTGGCAAGCCGGTGAAAATGATGAATTTATAGTAACAAATAATGGATTTGGAATATTTGAAGGAGTAAATGGAATGATATTTCAATCACAATTCCAATTTGCCTTCCATTTCTTTTATGTCATCTCCCCAAAGCTAATGTTGGTCCTCTGTAATAATTTTTTCCGAAATGAAACAACAAAAAATTTGATGTACAAATTTTTTGGACGAGACCATTCGGTGTTTGAAAACGCACCTCGTCCACTGGCATCTTCAAGGTATATTGCTCCAGGTGAATACCGAGAGAATGACACATTTACCTTTCCCTTTGTTAAACTCCCTTCGGCTACAGTTCACCTTGTAAACTCCTTCTTTCTTAATGAAGCTAGACCAGAACTAGTTTTGGCTTTTCTTTCCCATTCATATCTTTATAAGTTAATTTGCAAATACCCTAAGTTCGATAAGGAACTTGGTTTAGTAACTCAGGATTTCATGAGTTTGAAAAAGCAATTATTCAAGGAATTAAATAGAACTCATAAAGAAGATTTGTGTTTTCGGAAAAATATTTCAACTGACTGAAGATACAATTGAAATATACAGCAAAATAATAACTTTATTATTTTATTCATGACATTTCCTGATAATAATTTCTTTGACAACTAAATTTATTTTACAGCTGTTTTCAAAAAGGTGTGAACAGACAATTTTTGCGACATATACATACATGTATGGGGAATCGGGAAATCAGAAGTTTAATAAATAACAATTTTTTTAATCAATATCATATATGAATAAAAATATAGTGACGTAAAATTAACTTTTTTTTTATCTGATAAATAAAATATAATATAAATTGTTTTTATTTTATTACACTCAATGGCGGATGCACTGGATACTAAACTTGAATACAAACGAGGAACTTGTTTTAGTTGTAGAAAGTGTTTATATTGTGGTGTTGATTGGGAGCCGGTCAAAATCCCGACAAACAGAAGGTCAAAATCCAATAGCAGTTAAATCACCAGTCTAAAAAATTTCTCTAATCACGTGACATTAATTTCACGGGATCTTCAATAATGGAATCATTGCAAATTAACCGATGAAATTTTAACTGTTATCCTTTGCTTTGCAAAGGATAGTTGATGCTTTCGCTACGGCTGTCGCCTCCTTCAGCATTTTTTTTTTTTACTAAAATCTAGAAAAAAAAGAATTTTAGTCGTCTTACCTTAACTCTAAATTTAACAAAGACTTTAACTAAATTGAAGACTTAAGATTAAAGAAGTTTAAATAAAAATAAAAATAAAAATATTTATAATAATAATTATTATCATATGCTTGAATCGTATTACTAATATATCTTTATTATATTATAAAAAGAAATCAACAAGTAGTTTCTGGTATAGACAAAATTTTTATATCGTTTAATTTTTTTTTTTATTTTCTTTTCTCTTAATCTAATTCATCGAAGTTTAGTATTTATTCAATTTTATTCTAACTCTAATATCATTGCTAATTTTAATCTCTAACCTAACTACTAAATACTAACAAATATTAACAAGACAATTGAAGATACCAACAAATAATAATGTTAGCAAAAGTGAAGAGATAGTAATATAATAGTGTAAATTACTATCATCAAATGATAACAACTAAATAACAATATCTATAACCTAAACACTAACTAACAAACACAAGAGAAATCAAAATTAGTAAATATGACAGTATAAAAGTAAAATACTAATAATTAATATCAACATCAGAAAATGATAATACTAAAGTGATAGTAAAATATCAACAGAAGTTAATGATAGTAAAAATGAAACTACTATTAAATAACAATAATTAAATGATAATCTTTCCTAACCTAAAATAACAAACAAAAGAAATCAAATCAGCAAACATAACAGTAATAAAAGTGAACTACTAATAATTAATATCAATACCAGAAAATAATAACACTAAAAAGTGATAGTGAAAATACTAATAATAGCACAAAAAATTACTATCAAATAACAATGACTGAATGATAATATCTTCTAACTCAAATACTAAAATAACAAATACAAGAGAAATCAAAATTACAAATATGATAATAATAAAAGTGGTAAAAAATCAAATACTAAATAGCAAATACAAGAGAAATTAAAATTACAAATATAACAGTAATAAAAGCAAAGTACCAATGAATATTGATACCAAAAAATGATAATACTAACAAGTGAAATATTAACAAAAAATGATTTCAACAAGTAAAAAATTAACAAATAGTGACTCTGACAAATGGCAAGATACTAATAATGATATCAACAAAGACAACACTAATAAAAAGAAATAAAAAGAAAAAAAAGATTAATTAGTAAAAGAAGTAAAAGAAATTAATTTAATAAATATTCAGACACTCTCTCCGTTGATCATTCTGACCATTTCTGGAGCAGAAGAAAAAACTTAAAAAACACTAATTTCCAATTAAGAAACAATAGTTGAGCCTTTAAGAAAAAGAGAAGAAACCACAAAATTACATATATCTGAGTTCAAGAAAAAG